GAATGTCCCTCGAGAGCATATTATTTGCGATTTATTTTCTTTTTGTTCAAACTAGTCATGATCTAGTCGTCTCCTTTTTTCTGATCTTGCTGGTTTATGAGCTTTGCTTAATCAATACGCTATTTCTGCCTTTTTTGCCAGTCTCCTGTTCATTATAGTTCTTTCAGTCATAATATTTATAGCCTCGTTAATCGTGCATTACCGTGTATTTTCCCCATATCCGACCAGTTTGTCTCTTGCCTTTCGATCGACTTCGCTACCATCCGTGAAATGTGTTCTGATATTTATAAAATCCATATTTCTTAAGTATTTTGTGCTACTTGATTAGTAGGTTCGTTGTTCTTTCCATTTAGCCAATATACTTCCACTAAAAATTTCTGCATATCATGCGATAAACGCCCGAACTACCAAGTTTGTCCTTTTTCTCGTGTTATATCAGCTAACTGATGAAAAGCGTTGTCTTCTAGTGGTCATCTTGTTATTTCATTTTCTTAATAATCATAGCATTTTAACTTAGTCTACAGAAGGGCAGGAATACGCACTTTTGGTCATCTTTTTTATTCCTGATCTTTTTTTATAATATTCATGTTGTCATCTGCACTTGAAGACCCTTATGTTTCTTTTTATGAATCTCCTAGGGTATCCGTTACTTATGGGCTTGCTCAATTCTTCGTCTCAGAACTGCATGTTCGTAAGGCTTAAGCATCTGACAAGCTCCCAATTATCATCTTTAGTCTGCAGTTTTGATTAATCTGAAATTTTATAATTATTCCTACATGCGATTTATTTATGAATAGTCTCCCCTTGATTGATATTAAACAACAATTAGATACACAGACTGGCGAATTTCATAAGCTTAAAGATCAAGAGGGTAAACAATAAATTATCAAGTAATATATAAAGAATTAGCATGAATTTTTTCAAGAGATCGAAATATTAGACTGGCAAAAACAAAACGGTTGATCAAATTTGATATATAATACACGTAATAAGCATCTATGACGAAAAGGCCTAGAGGCCCTAGTGAAGATTTTGGAATGAGAAGATAATCTGGAGGCAGTTCAGATATAAAGGAAATTCTTAACAGACCAAGGGTATAATTTGGACTGGGAGAAAAGGAATGGCAAGTTGCGATAATGAGGGGAAATATGGAGAATTTAACGTGTAAAAAGGAGAGATATCACAACTGTTGACCATAAAGTTCATAATGGAACAGAATTTGTATCTTATTGCTAAGACTGACAAGACGTACAGAAAATGTTGGCGAAGCGTCTAAGAGTACACCAAATCAAAGGTCAACGCTGTAGAATATTGTAACTACCATGGCAAAAGACTCTTGATAAGATGTGTTCACTTAGGCCTCCACATCTTGGTTTTCATGCCTTCAAGAAGATTTTACAGCCTGTACACTCAAAGATACTATGAAATGTTAGGCCACTTTCGAATCCACAGGAACCGTTTAAGACAATTTATTCATATTGCTCATGATGCTTGATAGAAGTATCGGAATAGTTTAACCATATCATTTTTTAAATTTCAAATAGTATGAGCCTAAATATTGTCTTAATTGTATGGGTTTAGAAACAGAAAAAAAATTACACTTGGATAGGGATAACACGTTAGTAGGGAAATAGCAAACGACTTAAGCAGATGATTAATGCTGCTTATGTGTCTAGACACATTAACAGTTCAATTAAAAATAAGTGATTAATTTTGATGAATTAAATCAAACAATGATTATATTTTAAAAATCTTATGTTTCGATCTTAAGTTTCGATCTTTAATCACAATGACCTACCAGCATTAACCAATCTACAGTTTCAAAGCCAGAAAGAATCCAAGCAGCACTTGGTTTCCTCGAGTAGGACATTTGGAAAGATTAAATATATAAATATTTCAGAGTAAAAATCTACAACATACGCTGAATGAAAAGTTTTTAAGAAAAATTCTGCAATTACCTAAACCCACTGTTTATAGACCAAAATCGGAATTTTTCAATAGTTCAATGTGCCTCATCATAATCTTTACAGTGTGGATCAAGATCATGTCTTGATCATGTCATGGAGATTATTAGTAAACGTATCATTTGTAAGTTAAGTGGCACAATATCATAACAGTTTTTTTTTCAGACAGGGGAGGTGATAATTAATAATAGATAAAGGTAATAATAGTATATCGTATTAGTATTGGCTGAAACAAAATGTTTCATGTGGAAAGACATTGAAGGAAATTAAATCTATTAATTATCCGATTTTCTATCGATTATTGTGACAATTTAACACTTATTTTTTATTTCCATTGAATCTCAAAGTATTATAATCCAGGATGGACTGCAGTTGTGACCCCGCTTAAGTCTCATCCGCACACCCAACAGGACGCAAACCCCAGTAGAGCGGAGGTTTTCTAGCCTTATTATAAGACTCGAGACCAAATCCCTGAAGCCAAGTTTTCTGGTATACTCAGCCCGTCTTCAGTTTAAAGCACTCATCAATTACTTAAGGTAGGTGATCCTGATAGAGTATTCGGGATATCGAATGAGAATATGTTATCCCATTGTCGAATGGGTGGGAGTTAGGCTTCACTGAAAATTGGCAATCTCGAATAAGAGGTGAAATAAAATCTAAAACCGAATATGAACTTACAGAGCCTCTTCTCGATCTGCAATAATATTCATTTGCCTGTAGACAGCTCGGAGGCCAGAAAACATGGAAGCTGCATCCACAGAACCAAATGCGTCGGCGGAAGTTGCGAATGAGGCCATAGAACTTGACATTTGAGAGGCCTGTGTAAGGCTCATTGCAATTGAAGGCAAATTTTTGTGTATGATGCTCGATGGGGAAGTCTGCACAGTCGCAGAGGAGGTAGAATTCGCTAAGGATGATGGTGGTGATGGGGGAAGCAAACTGGGCGACGTGCCCACGCCTATAGCACTAGTTAGAGTAATTAGAGGAGATGTTGATTTCGAAAGCATCGATGATAAAGTCATGTGCTGTGGCATGGGCGAAGTAAACGAAGAAACAATATGTTTTTTCGGAGAGCTCGGTGTCTGGACGGCTTGATCTGACTTGGCTACCTTGTCATTAATAGCACGCAAATTTCGTTCCAAGGGCACTTCGCTTGAGGATGGCGGTAGGACCAGAACGGGTGACGTAAGGACCATGGCGTCGGAATGCCTAGCCATAGGGGGCGGTTTATAGGGGGAAACAGCATTAGTGGTGACCTTCTCCAAGGTCGAGGAGGTTGAGTGGGAAGTGGAATGTGAAGAGTTATGTGAAACCACTTCTTTTGATACTGATGAATCAGGTGTCGAGGAGAATTCTTGGGGCAATTCCGATGAGACTTGTGGCGATGGCGGGGCGAGCAATATGCCAGTGAGAGAACGAGGACGAAAATTGCGATCTCGCCTTTTTGGACGAGCAAATGAAGCTAACTCAGAGCGCAAGGTAGCCAAAAAATCGTTCGGCGATCTGACGAGATCATTGCTAGAACAATTTAAAGCATTCGAAGATTCTAAAGCGGAGTTAGCGGTTTTGGTAGAGCTGAGGGACTGTGAGCAGGCAAGCAATTTAATCAGGCGCTGTTGTTCATCAGCGGGTTCAGGGCAAGTAGACACGATCCAGGCAAGAACGTTGTTTGGTAGAGGACGCAAAGGTCTTCGTGGTAGGATACGAGTTGAGACAGCCTCCTTGGATGAGAAAGAATGTCGGTGGTTAGATCCTCGGGCTAAATTGGTCTCTCCAGATTCGACAGATGTCGGTGGGACAGTTTTATCTGCAAATTGAGTAGAGAGATCGTCGTTCTTGCTAGTGATGCTAAAACTTCTTTGATCAAGTCGGCGTCTTTTCTCTTCTATGTCAGAGCGGTCGTTATTCATCTGAGGTGGAAATACAAGCTTGTCCCTTGATGTAGTACGGTCAAGACTTTTCCCTACGATACGATTTTCTACATTATCTCTTAATTCCTCTTCTGATATCCTCACCTCAATTTCATTGCTCACAGCTGCAGTAGGATCTAAGATGGCAGTCATTTGGCCTACAAATTCCTTGTTCTGGTCACTAATGTGAGAGCTTGAAAAAATAGCAGAAGAAACCATTAAATCTCCATCTACTATGCCTGCTTTTTTCATCCTACCTGGTCTCTCAAATTGTATATCATCTGAAAGGGATTTGGAGTCTGGTCGATTAGCCCGCTTCATTTTCTCATTAAACAATGGTCGATGACTTATGTTGACCCAATCTTTTTTGTTATCTGTGGGCTTAGGCAAAGAAAGTGCCTTATTCAGATCTGATTCGCTCATACAATTCTGATTCGAACTCACTTCGGCGGCGGAGACATTTCTTCCATTACTATCCTCTGTATCATTCCTAGAGGTGAGGTTGGCAGACAATTTAGAAACGGTCGTCAGGGCAGGGCGCTGTGCGGTAATTGCATTATCATCTGCAGCCTCTGTATCAGAACTTAGATTATCAGGAGCGCCATAGGCAGATCGTTTGTACATAGAAGGTGATCCGGTTGGTAATGAAGCAATGGGATGATTAAGGCTGTTTGTCTCTACAGAAATTGTTGAATGGCAATTAGTATCTGTGATTGGACGGGGGATGGAATGGAGAAGAGACTGATCTGCCGATTTTCCTTGGTTTTTCGATGTCTGCATAACTGGACTTACGATATCTAAGTGGAATAACTTTCTGGCCCCATTACAGTGATCTCGGATTTGCGGTGGCTCGGGTTCACCCAAAATAGGATCGCCGAGAAGCTTACGCAATTTTCGCTTACGCCGACGTTGATAAGACCCCTCTTCTTCAATATCCTCATTTCCTGTTAATATGAGATTTTCCTGAATGCCAATTTTATTTTCCAACTCTCTAGTTGAAGTTGTCTCTGGTTCCTTAGCCACAGCAACACTAGTCAATTCAGATACAAAGCCCGATTCAGGTGCTGGTTCGCTGAAAGAGATCTGTTCAGGCTCACACACAGGCTGGGCACTAGAAAGGCTCTCAGAAGCCGGTAGCAAATTGATAGATTCGGCAAGAAGCAATGATTCGGTTGTATCAAGAGCAAGCTGGGGAACTTTGCGCCTATCGTGTTCTTTGATGGCTTCGGTAACCCGAGACAACACAGAATGCAAAAAGGATCGATTAGATTTACCTGAATGATCGCTGCCTTCAGGTAATGAAAGCAAAGCTTGACTTTGAGAAGTTTCTTGTCTAGCACAGCGAGTCGAAGTTGCTGATGGAGTTGACAAATCGTGCGCGCCAGATATCGAATCAAGAGGAGCGTTTGAGGCATCATTACTTAAAGGCGGTAGAGTAGATGACGAAACTGAAGAATCTAAGTCGACAGGAGCAGTCATAGGAACTGGAGGCAGGGCTTGTTTAGTAATAGTGACCAGACCATTTGAAACGGGTAGCCTAGAATATAGAGAAACATAAATTGGATAGGCTGTAAAGTAAGGATATTTAGGACGAAAAAAAAGTACGAGGTAGATTCAATGGAAACTTATAGATATAATATTGTGGGAAGGATAGGAAAAGAAACTTTTAAATCAAATATCCTCATTTTTTGAGGAGCTTAAAAGATAAGGACGAAAATTTGCCTCGGATATTATTTGCTTCAACGAGTTGATATGTAATATCTATGGCATAGGCTGGTCGGAGAACATCAGAAAGAATTTGAATAGAAACGATTCGACAGGAAAGATGACAATGTTTTTATTTATATTTTAAAGAGACCTAAAATTAAAGGTTTTATATCGAGAGGAGAAAAATACATTAATTCTGAATAATCAAAATGTGGAAATAAGAATTATATAGGATCCTAGATAGGATCGTAGCCACCTTAAGCTTTATAATATTGGTTTGACCTCGTTCTCGCAACTTGACAGGAAAGTCAGGAAGACCTTGTGGAACGTACTGAGTCCTGCATCCTCTATTATAGTATTCATGATTTCCAGCATGGGACCATTGGCTTGGTACATTCCCAGACATTTCGTCGGCATTTGTAGTGAGAGATGCCATCGTTTGCACAGTTAAAATTTATCAAAGTATCTGTGCTAACGATGAC